ATAGTATAACAGACTTATAAAGGGCCCATATATCTCAAATAGCTTAGGGACTTATCAAATCTAAATTCGGCTCCCCTACTTTCCTGGTAGTGTTAGTCATAAGTTTCTCAACAAAGTCAGCATTCTCTGTGTCATAGGCAAAGTTGAAAGACTAAATGAGTTTATTCAAAATGTGCATCTCAAAGGCAATTGAAAGACTAAATGAGCAAAGTATTCAAAAATGCCTCTGTCTTTAACTCAGGCGTTTCACTATCAAGAGATGTAAAATTTAAACCTTCGAAGTTTCATAAACGCTTTATACATTATCTTACGATAATTAACCAGTTATTCTAATTTTTCACCCATGTGTTCTTGCCAGAATGTTTATAAGTTAGCATGTATGTATTCAAATGAGGAAGAAAGGAATAGTTATTAAGGGAAGGTTTTGGAAGATGATTTTGTTTTAGAAGTGTGCAAAATTATGTTCTACAGAGATTGTTAAGGCCAAGTTGCTATGAAGGTTACTTGAATTACTCAAGCGATTAGAAGTTTCTATTTAGATGGCATTGATTGTTTTTGCTATTAAGCTTGTTTATGCCTACTTTTATGAGTCACAGCCTTCCTGCGCATTAAATTATCCTGTGAGCCGTTAAGCTAAACTTGCTACATTTAATTGTAAGTTCATCATTACCCGTTTGAGTTAACATATAAGTGTTGTCTTTAGTATACACTAAAGTGGGGTTATCTGTAAACTTATATTGAGTGAATAAAAGGTTCTTTACACCCTTCTTTGGATTTGTTACATCTAAGACTTGCATAATTCTTCACACAGTCTTCTAAGCCTAGTAATTTTATGCTACCCAAGTCTACAAGACATTGTTAAAATCTGTGTAAGAGTGCAAATACTTGTAAAAATTGTTTTAACTGTCATCATAACATTTTGCACCTAGAAAATAATTTCAGATAAAAAATGCATCTTATTTCCCTTTACTGGAAGCATAGTTTTTTTTTTTTTTTTTTTTTTTTTTTTTTGAAATCGAAAATAAAAACGGAACAAAACTTGAGAGAGGTTTTTCTTCAACTGTTTGTGCAAACAACTATGAAAATAACCATTTTAGAGGTCATGCTAATGACAGTCATTTACTTTTGTATAATGCTTAAGGTTCAAACCTCAAATAATGAATTCATAAACTGTAGATATTTGCTAGATTCAGGTAGTGAAAAATCGTTCATTTGTCCTGAAACTGCTATCAGTTTAGGACTAAACATAATGAATTCGAAGGTATTTAGTTTCATGTCTAGGAACTTTCAATTCAACAGTTACTGGAGAAATCACTTGCTGTTTACACCTCATTTCAATACCAGCTACAGAATTTCTACGTCCGCTTACATAATAGACAAAATTACAGGAAACATTCTAAGTGTAATATTACCTTCGAATTTATATGAAAATTTCCAAGATTTAACTTCAGCAGATCCTGCATTTTATGAATCGAGAGAAACTGATATTTTGCTGGGACTTTACATGTTTTTTACTTTGATCAATGGAAAAGTCATTAAAAAGGATGAAAAATCTTCCATTTGCATTTTGTTCTAAGTTGAGATGGGTCATTGCTGGAACTACTCCAAACCGTGAGCAAGTTTCAGTTAGTACGCTAAATGTAAGTGCTAAGGAGTTAGTCAAATCATTTTGGAAAGATGGTATGTAATTCTAGATCATCAGCTTTTAGCAAATTTTTCAGCTTAGAATAAAACCTCTTAAAAAATCCTGAAGTATATCAACAATATAAAGAATATTTGTCACTTAGGCACATGGAAAATTATCCGATGATAATCTAGGTAAGCTAAATGAGCACTTTTATATATCTCATCATCACGTGCTAAAAGAATCGAGTCTTACCCTAAAACTACATTCGGGATGTCTCTTAAATGACACATTTGTGAAAGGCTTCAAGATACAAGATGACTTATTTACTTTTAGATGCAATCCCATAGCCATTACTAGTGACTTACTGTAAATGTACCGAAAGTTCAAATTCATGATGAAGATCGCGATTACCAAACAATATTGTGGAGAGATATTCCGTTGAAGCCCATTAAAATGTACTACTTCAGTTTCACACTTGGCTATTAACGAACTCAAACAACTAACAAATAACAAAGGGGCTTAATTCCCAAAGACGGTTCAGATAATATTGCATAATTGTTATACTGATGACGTCACATTTGGTTCAGACACAGTAGATAATGCAGTAGAGTTAATATCACAGCTAACTGAACTTTTACAAAAGGGTGGTTTCTAATTGCATAAATGGTTTTTAATTGCATAAATGATCTCTAAATATTAGAAACCACATTGAAAGAAAGCTCAGAGCACTACTTCTTCATACACAATTGTTGGTACGAAATCAATAAAATTATTAGGTTTGAATTGGTATCCAACACAAGACAATTTTACTTGTGGCTTTGAGAACAGTGAGCATTCAACTAAAAGAATGATTTTGTCATCTAAATTTCAAAAAATCTTCGATCAACTTGGTTGGTTAGCACATTTCATAGTCACTGCAAAAATCTTGCTTTAAGATGTATGGAAATTACAAGTTTAGTGAAATGATTCCTTACCAAAGGAAATCAATCAAATTTGGAAAAATCTACTGTGAAGATATCTCAAATGAATTCGCATTCCTAGAAGAGCATCTTTGCCCAAAGCTGCAAATGTAGAACTTCATTGCTTTTGTGATGCACCAGAAAGAGCTTAAGAAGCAGTAATTTATTCAAAGTCTTCCAATAGTTCTTCATTTTTGCTGTAGCTACTAACATCAAAAACTCGGGTAGACCTTAAAGTAATTTCTAGTCCTCGTTTAGAACTCTGGTGATCTGGTTCAAGTTGCGCAGAATTCTTTAAAAATCCATGTTGATAATATTTATTCATGTTGAGAGTGAATGTCGATAGTGTTGAAGTTCATGTTGATAGTGATTCAATGATTGTTTTGTCATGGGTACAATCAGTACCCACACAATGGCAAACCTTCGTGGCCAACCGCATTTCGGAAATTCGATCAGTTCTACCATCATCGCACTGGAATCACATAAGAGGAAAAGAGAACCCTGTCGATTGCGTATCAAGAGGTCTTTTGCGTTCGGAACTCTCTACTCATGATTTATGGTAGCCAGGACAGTCACTCAGTAGAACTATTATTCGGTTCTCGGTCCGCTTACCGTTTTCAAACGAGTCCGTCAAAGAACAACGTAAAAGTGTTTCTTGTTCAACTGGAGCAACTTAGCTAATTCTAGTCCTTAATGAGGTTTCACCGTTCTTGAAAAAAGGAAAAGAATCATCGCAGGGTGTTTTCGTTTTGACAATAATTCAGCTGGATCTACCAAAACAAGGATTTAAGATTATCTTATAACCGAAGAATCGCAACAAACTAGAATAGTTCAAAAAGATGAGTTGTTCAATGAATATAATCTTTGAACCATTAGACTCAAATAGCAAGATACTTTCTTTGAACCCTTTGTTATAAGAATGGATTTATATGTGCTGACGGAAAATTGAGACAAGCCAACATCGCGTAAGACGGAAAATATCCTATTTCGTTGCCCAAGAAACATCACATGACGCAGATCATAGCAAAAATTATTTTCATGAATCTCATCTTTATCGTGGATGATACTGCTCTGCTACTGCTATCGGTGATTAGAAGAGACTATTGGATAGTCAAAGCTAGGCCATTTAGAAGACAGCAGATTTGGAAATTTGTGAAATGTCATAGTATAGGAGCTAAAACATCTCCCCAGATAATATCGGATTTACCATCGCTAGAGTCGTTCCACTGATTTTTTTCTGCAAAGTTTGAAAGCTGAAACATTAGTTTCACACTAATGTTTCAGCAATTAAAGCTGTATCTTGTGATTTGCCTTAAAATGTTCACTCAAATTTAAAACATCTCAAGAATTGAAAAAAAGAATTTGATATCTTAACGTAGCGGAAAATTACTTAAAATAGATCATTAATTTGATTCACTTTATTCAGACTGCAACAATAATGCTCCTGCCTCTGATGACTAACATCTATGGGAAGTGAGGGAAGAAAAAAAATGAGGGGCGCTGTCCCTCAGAACGGATTTGAACATGAGAGAGACGAGAAGCGTCCTTCCAGCAGCTATATTAATTGATGAATACTTCTATACTTTAATTAGTAAAATTATTTAAATAAATGTATAGCACATCTACAGTTTGGGTTTTGTGTGATGTTGCAGTATTGTAATCAGCTTGTAAGTTTGCAACTGACTTGGAGTTGGAAGTTAAGTTCTACAGACCTTACTAGACAAGTTATCGTTAGGCCTGAAATATTATGGCAAATTCTTGAGAAGGTTTAAATAACCATTTTATTTTAACCTGAACTTTTAACATAAAAGTTCATTTTGTCTGTAGCAAGACACGATTAAATAGCATAAGCTATAAGCTGGCTCAATACTTTACCGGCGCATGTGCTTAGATTATCTGCTAGTGAGAGAATGCCAAAAGTCGAAATAATCACTTTTAGATACAGCGGCCAAATTCCAGCATAAACAGGGCAAAACCCTCAGCTTATTAGTTAAATTGCATTAAAGTTGCCTTAAGTTAAATTGCATTCTGGTGAGAAATACGGAAAGAAGTTATAGTACAGATCAAAATCATAAGAACTAGTTAATTAACATAAGAACCTATAAGATATTTCTCCCGCCTTCTTAGCATGCCTTCGTAGTGTAATGGCCAGCACGCTCGACGCGTATTCGAGAGGCCCGTGGTTCGAGTCCCGGCGAAGGCGTTGCTCATTTTTCATGACTTCTGCTTTAAAAAAATACCTAATGTCTCTACAAACCTTACAAGTTCAGAGGAAAATCTGAAACCTCAAGAAATATACATTTTACACACATAAACATAAAACAACATGCATGATAAATCTTCAAAGTAACAATTATTTTAAATTTTACAACTATAAATATTTGATAATATTATAAACAATAATATTATATAACCTGATATATTTTTTGGTTAAAATCTTCTTCAGAAATTTCTTCCTGATAATTTTCCATGATGTAAAATGCAACAGCCCACATGATAAGTATATGATCTTCATTCTGATTATACTGCATACTAGTCCTTAAAAACATGAAAGCTCATTCAGTTTTATTTGGCAAAATAATATTGTAAAGACTAAAAGGTTTAAAAAAAGAGTAAAAAAGTTATTATTTTATTTTATTAGTTATATTACAGAGCACGGAAAATTAAATTATAAAAAATAATTTTCAAAACACCATAAAAATTGGCCAAACACTTAAAAAATCCTTTATAGCACTGATAAAAAAAAAAAAAAACATATAAACAAACTGCAGTTAGTTATAAATTATCCTTTGAGTCTTTTCGTTTTTGCAATTATTCTTTCATAAACGGCAGAATATCTATATTCACATATGACTTGCATCAAATAATTAGCACAAGACTTTTTAAAACAAGAATTTCACTAAAAGCCTTAAGTGTTCACAAAAGATTTTCCAGAATGTGAAAACAGATTACAGACAAATACAGTACAAAGTCTTTAATCCGGACGTCCATAATCCGGAATGATCTATAATCCGGATCTCAAAGCTGCAAACTTTCTGCGCATGCGTAGCGTTTACGCATGATACGTTTACGCATGCGCGTTTAATGTATAACGGTTGGTATAAGCTAGGCTAAAATTATATAATTATCTATTTCAGTTAATGTTGCAGATTGCGTTGTTCCTTAATCTTCTAATTGGATCCGGCTTATTATTTTTTGCAGACTGTTAGAGCAATTTTATAAAAAGTAAGCTTGAACTTTCGATTATGTCAAAAAGAGTTTCCGGTTCTGGAGCTGCCAAAGGATCTACAAAGCGAAAGCATATTTCGATGTCCATCAAACAAAAAATGGAATTGCTGTAAAAAAATGGATAAAGGCATGAACAAAGTGACAGAGAGGTTAGTGAAAACGAAAAAATTTCGATTGACAAGTTAGTCGGTATTCTCGGCACAGCATTTACAGGACTTCAACAGCAGGACTTTGTAACTGAACAAGAAATTATGTCTGTTTATAGAATTAAACAGAAAGTATTAACACATAAAACGAAGCAACTTAACTTACATTGAAAAAAATGTTTAATAAAGTAAACAAATAAATATTAAGCTTTTTTTTTTTAATTAAACACTTTAGATCCTAATTACTCTTTATTTCATAAATTACGATTTCATATTTTTAATTGTATAATTTCTGCATGCCATCTTACCAGATTTAAATTGATGATCTATAATCCGGAAAAATCCCTAATCTGGAATCGCCGAAGTCCCGACGAGTTCCGATTAAAGACTGTAATTTCATCAAGAGTTAACTTTATTATTTAATTTGGGAAATTCGCAAAGAGATTATTGAATACAATATTGCATTAGTACAAAAATGTGTTTAAATTAGAAACATTAATGTAAAACAATTTTTTACTCCTAATAAAATTATTTACATTTTTTATTTGTTTATGTTAAACACTTCCCTCTAAAAGTGAACATTAATGTGTAAATCCGACATTAAAAATAAGGATTTTTATTAAAATTTGCAGTAATATGCAGCAGCTTTCTCTTAATTGGACAAACACCGAAAACATTTTCAGAGTGCACCATGACACGTAAAATTTAACAAAGAGGGACATAAAATGATTAAACTAACAACTGATTATTTCGAATGCAAATATCTGTCAATGAGGTGAATGGCGTACTCTCGTTCAAATGCAGACTACGCTTCATGCTAGTATTCAGTTAATCTGTGGGATCGGAAAGCAACAACTCCCAGTCTCGAACAATTAAACAAAAGAATCTACGATTTCTATTCTGACGGTAACTATGAGAACTCCCTACTCATGCTCAATGTGTGTGAAGTTCTCAGGAGGCAAAATAATTAAAGTCGGAAGACTAAAAAGAAGACTGATTTCTCTGGAATTGCTCAGCTAACAGATAATCACTCACTATGTAAGTTCTGTGGGAGTGAGCACATTCGTCTATAAAAGAATGAAGTTTGAACCTACGGCCACCAGCAAAGAGATTAAACGTTTCGCCATGGAACGATTTGTTAAACATACGGAGAGTATATAAGGTTTTTCTCCCACCTTCCTAGCGTGCCTTCGTGGTGTAGTGGTCAGCACACTCAGCCGGTATTTCAGAGGCCCGTGGTTCGATTCTCGGCGAAGACGTTTGCTACTTTTCATTTTTCCTGCTTCCAAAAAAATACCTAATGTCTCCACAGTGGCGCTCGAACTAAAAAGGGTGTTGAATGAGGATTCTCCACACCAAGGATTTGGCGATTGGGTCCCCTAAAAACCCCAGTAGCCCTTTAAAAAGAGGAGTATATAAGGTATTTCTTCCACCTTCCTAGCGTGCCTTCGGGGTGTAGTGGTCAGCACATTGAGCCGGTATTTCAGAGGTCGGTGGTTCGATTCCCGGCGAAGGTGTTTGCTATTTTTCATCTTTCCTGTTTTCAAAAAATACCTAATGTCTCTACAAGTGGATGCAGCTGTTAAAGAAATTTGACCCATATGGTGATTCCGTCACCTAAAAACGAAAGAATGATACCCAAATATCCCCTCCAAGTAACTGCTGCGTGTTCATCTACATTCTCATAAAAATTGCATACAGGCAAGCTCTGTGTTCGTATAGCGATATGCAACATTCAAGAGGAATGATGTTAATGCCAGCAGACCACTTTTACCTACAGACCTCAACAGCATCCTGTACCATTTTTACACCCCGTTTTCACACACATAGGCTTACATATATGCTTATTTCGGTCCCTTCTACATGCCTTCAATGTCTGCCAGATTTTTTGAATTTCTCAGTATATATGTTTATTTTTTAATTAAATATAAATGAAAATTTTCTCGAATTCAAGTATTTAATGATCACTGGAATTTTGCGTAATTTATAGAATACGATGATCGCATAAAAACAAAATAAGAAATTAAAGGCTTAAATACCACTTTAAATTTTTTTTCCAATTAAAAAAAAAAAAAAAAAAAAAAAAAAAAATTCCATTTTAACCCAAATTTTGTGATTTTCTTCATTCTTAATAAATTCAAACTATATACTCATAGACTAAATACTTGAACGTTAAAATAAATATAGGCTCCATTTTTCCATTAGAACATTTTATAAACTTTCAAGGTTTTTTTTTTTTTTTTTAATTAAAATTTATTCTATTTTTGTAAGTCATAAGAATAACTTTCAAATTAGAATGCTTATTCCTAGACAAGTAAAACAGTTCAAAAAGCATTAAAGCATTTTTGAATGGCTAGAAAAATCATTAAAAAAAGGTTTAAGCAAAAGAGCAAAAACACACTGAATAACCATGATAAGCTAGCACCCTTCCAAACAGTATATCAACCTTCGTTTAAAATAAATTACAGCCTGCACATAACATGGCAATGGTTTCACTAAATAACGGAAGATCACCATAGAAACTAGAAGCGACACACTATTTTTATCAAGATTTCAGTCCTAAGATCATTGATTTAATCTATGTGGCAGTGAATAACATCAAAGCAAAATATAAAATCAGGGGAAAAATAACTTTTACCCGTCCATATAAAGAAACAATCGGCTGACATAGGTCCCATTTCCTTAGAAGTAATGGGACTTACATCAGTAGCCATATATACACTGATGTGCAAAAATTAAGGACGAGACGGTTTTTTCAATATAACTTTGTACAAAAGCTTTCCAAATCAACACATTTAATACCGTAAGATCCCCAATACGTAAGGATATGAGTAACGTAAGCAACACTTACTAAAAGAGAAATCAGAGGGATAAAAAGAAGCGTTATTGAAAAAGTAGCATGGTGCGCAATGCGACTGAAGGCCGAAACATCCCTGTGATGGGTGTCCAGCAAGAAACATCCGGTCTTTAATAGGGGATATGATCTCCCCTGACTGCTAGGCAGGTTTCACAGCGTCTGCCCATGCTGAGAATGAGGGTGTCAATGAGTTGTTGAGGCATTGCTGCCCATTCGTCTTGCAGCGCCAATCGAAGCTCCGGAATCGTTACTGGTGGTAAGGTACGAGCTGCCAAGCGTCTACCTAGAAAATCCCATACATGCTCGATGGGATTGAGATCCGGAGATCGTGCCGGCCAATCCATACGTTCAATATCCTCACTCTCTAAGAGCTGTTCGGCAGCTACTGTGCGATGACATGGTGCATTGTCGTCCATGAAAAGGAACTGCGGACCCATAGCGCCTCTAAAAAGACGCACATATGGAAGAAGAATCTCGTTACAATAACGGGTCCCGTTGACTGAACCTGCGTCGAAGATGTGAAGGTCTGTACGACTACCAAGCATGATGCCTCCCAAACGAGAACACCGCCACCTCCATACCTGTCCCTTTCAATGATGTTCGAGGGATGATTGCGGCTTCCCCGCTCTCTCCAGATGAGTATGCGATGAGAATCGCTACTCAGACTGAATCTGCTCTCATCTGTAAAGAGTACTCGTCCCCATTCATTGTCTCTCCAATTCCGGTGTTCCCGGCACCACAGAGAACGCCTTCTCCTATGGACAGGCGTTAGAGGTACACACCGTACAGGGCGTCGTGCAAACAGACCACCACCGTGCAGTCTTCTGGCCACGGTAAAACTCGATATCGGTCGTCCAGTTGCCTGTGTCGTGTGTCTAGCAATTTCTCCCGCTGTCTGCCGCCTGTTTCTTCTGGCCTGTAAGGCAATATACCAGTCATCTGCGGGTGTGGTTCCTCGTGGACGACCACTACTAAACCCCCGGATAGCTGTTCCTGTAGTTTAAAATTGTCTCCAAAGTCGTGAAACGATGCTGTGAGCAATTCCGAACTCTGCAGCCACACTTGTCACACTGCGGCCTTCCTCCAACTTCCCAATGATTCGAACCTCGGGTAAAAGCATCCAGATGTCGTCTAACAGATTGATTATTCGCCATTTCTCGCTGAGGCAGCAACTCGGTGTGATTTTAACTGCTATACGGCGTGCAATCTCTTTGCCAGAAATACTGATCTTACACCGACAACATGCTTTATACTACTCAGACACTCCCCCAGTACGTCTACCTGCATATCTGCGCATGTGCTACCGCACATCACCTTACTTAATCTCCTGATTGGTCTTTCTGTCCGCTCTGCCTCTTCGTTCAGCTGATATGCTAATTTTTCGACTTCGTCCTTAATTTTTGCACACCAGTGTATATATATATATATGTGTGTGTGTGTGTGTGTGTGTTCATTCATGCTCTTTTTTGCTCAGCAGTATTCCAAGAAGATTCAATAACCTTACAGGCCAATTCATAAACCCCTGTAAGAAGAACACAGTCATGAAAAGTTACCTAATCAACCAGCATATTCTGGTAAACACACTGCATTTAAGGACCTCTTCAGATACAATAAAAATCTTAGCATGCCTTAAGGAGGTTGTCAACTCTACAGTCTTAAACAGAAACAAGTTGGTAAAATGAGTCCATGGCCTCATATTGTTGACACCATTAGCGTCTTTATATCAGCAGTCTGGAAACAGGATTCATCTGATTTTGAAACGTGACGCTACCACTTCTGAAGATCAGTGTTCATACTCCCAGCATGAGATTAAACTCAACGTTCAATGTGCTCTGTTAGCACAGTATACAAATAATATGGCAGTTTATATAGCCTATGATCTGCAGTATGTACTCTACTGTTCACCCGCTCGCAGGATGGTCTGCAATATCTTTCAGCTTACCAACATTCCTCTTGGACCCTAGAACTGCTTACAAAATCCTGCAGCTTACCCTTTACTAATCTACAATAACCCTATTTGTCAATGGTCCATGAACAGCCATTGTCGTTTCGCTGTTGAAACATCTAAGCGTTTATGTGACTTTTAGCTGCCCATTTATATGGTTGTCCTTGAGAATCCTAAGGTATTACTTGAGAGACAAATTGCCCTACCTTGTTTCGACAAGGATCATGATAAAAATCGCTACAGTTGCCACAGTTATACATTTTTGTCGAATAGGATATATTCTCGAGAACTTTGGATGTTCACTTATTTATATGCTTGATGAACATCCATGCAGGGGTTCCTGAAGCTGAAAAAGAAGGTTCTATTCAAATCTTCATAACTAGACTTGCAAATTTATGCAACTTACGCTGTTTCTTGTTACTTCAATACCTCCCTTTAGTTTTAATATGTCCCACTTCACTTGGAACTGTTTGTATACCTTCACTGCTCTTTTTAATAATTTGGTTATTCAGTGCACGCCATCCGACCCCCAAAAAACACCAAATAAATTCCTTATTTGACAACTTAATGGTAAAACAATATTAGCGAGTAAGTTAAAAATATAGATGTTACAAACAACAGAAATCTTATTAAAGTAATATACTTATAAATCTTACATATTTATTGCATCAAGGTTCTTGAGAATGTATTCTGTTGCTGTAGGTAACAATGGAAAAGATTCATCTCCTCCTCCTTGTTCTAATAAATAAAGAAGACCATGCAGAGTTGAAATTCGTGTTGGAAGATATGAACTTTTTAAACTAAGTTCTAATAATTTTCTCAATCTTTCTAGCACATCCTGTTCCTATGGATATAAATGAATACAAATTACATTCCTGAAAATAGCATAAGAAATAGGCAACAGTTTGTTAACAATAAAAACAGCTTTATCTTTCAGCCAGTCATAAAAACAAAATCATAATAGGGTAATTCTTTTGAATTAACTATATACTAAATGTACTAAATATCAGTCTTCCAGAAGGAATGGTGAACTGTATGAGGAACTGCTTTCATAATGAAAATTGCGTGACTTCCACAGAAGGATTTATGTTACTAACTATATTTATACGACAAATGGAAGCGTGTCCTTGGGATTAAATAATGGAATCTCTGGATGCAGAATCTATCAAGGTCTGAGCCTGTTTCTCGTAGAATTCTGTCTTACAAACATTTAATAAACCACTAGAAGAATTAGGTGTAACGATGGATGGCTGCACTCCACTGCATGTTGTCGATAAGGGCGCTATAATCGCGCAGCATTATAGGGATGAGGTTCTTGAACCTAATATGAGGCATTTCAAAGGAGCCGTTACAGAATATTTTAGTGTTATGGATCATTCATTACACAAGGCCACACAGAGATAAAACGGTCCATGGTTTTCTAGAGGAAAAAAACTATTCTCCGTATATAATATAGTCAGTGATGCTGTCGAACCTAAATCCTAAACAGCATGTTTGAAATGGTCTAGGAAAGAGCCGTTGCAGGATGTCAACATCCTCCCAGGAGTGAGCCTGTTGAAATCCTTGTTTTGGAAGAATTAGATTTGTTGCTACAGTCTATGATTAACAATTTCCTTTACCGCTCATTGTTAGGCAGGTAAAGCTGTGTGGGATGACTGCAATCTTCATTACTCAGATTATTCTGGAAATGTGAAACGTTATCTTTTGGCGTTTTTGGTTTCATCTGTACACTGAAAAACACTTCATTTCTGTTTATATTGTTATGGTATTTGTTATACAATTCTACAGTTTTTTGTAAATGCTGTTCTACTGTTTATTTTGCTATGTTACTGTTGTTAAATGATAGAACAGCAGAAGAATGAGAACAATAAAAAATTAGCATTGAAAATTCTCGCTTTAAACGGCTCAAATCGCTGTTTTACAGCTTAGGACTCGATGAAAGAAGGTATTTAGGAAATAAAACACAACTGGCAACTAATGTGTAAAGAACCAAAGTTTGAAATTGCTGAAGAATTCTTGGACTAAGTCCCCTGAAAGACTCACCTCTGCTTGAAATGTATTTTAGGCTTGTTACTAAAGTAGCCGCCTCCAGTTAGATATACTGGCGAGACTAGTTCAAGGGATAGATAGAGAGTAACAACAGGCTCTAAAACAATAACTTCTTAATTGGACTGTGTTCAACAGTTATGTATTAACGCAACCACCAAAATTTCTCATTTCGCTATCAAACTAAAATATCTTATGTATTAAGATAATCAATGAGTGCATTTCCACATCTTACTTTAATATTAAAACTATTTTTACAAAAAACAAAAGTTAATCATTTATGAATCACAAATTTTTATCCTCACTCAGCACAGCGCCGATTTACCATATAAACTTAATTTGGCGATTGTGATGCATCACTCTTTGAATGAGTCACGATATTCCTAAATTGTTTACAGTACTACTTTATTTTTCATTTATTGTCTCCATAGCTGTTAAAAATTAAATATCAATGTTCAAGTGGTGCCAAAGCAATTCATATCTGTTTTTAATGCCAATGTAACTGATTGCATTTGCTTCGAAGTTGATAGTTCAGGGAATATATGCTTACAGATTTTTTAATTTGAAATTTCATATACTACAAGGGGTGATCAAATGAAAAGGTACGAAACGACACGGTGGGTACAAATGTAGACTTTATTCAAAATATACACCATAGGTCTGAGCACAACGATCCCACTGATGAAAGCCTCAGAATTCCTTGTTCCCAGAATTCCTGTGGCCGTGACGAAACCCAGTCCTTCACAGCGTCCTTGAGTACGTCGTCCGAGTTGAAGCGCTTCCCTTTCAAGTGTTTCTTCGGTGAACCAAACACATGAAAATCGCAGGGCGACATGTCCGGACTGTAAGGCGGATGGTCCAACGTCTCCCACTTGAACTTGGCCAGTTCCATGTGTGTGACTCTGGAGACGTGTGGACGCGAGTTATCATTGAGAAGAACCACACCCTCCGCGAGCAGCCCCGATTTATTGTTCTTGATGGACCTGCGTAGGCGTCAGAGTGTCTCACAGTACACATCGGAGTTAATGATTTTTTTCTGTGCTCAAGGACCTTGAACGTCGAAAAAGACGGTGAGCAACACCTTGCCTGCTGACGGCACGGCTTTGAACCTTTTAGGGGGAGGGGACGACACATGCTTCCACTGCATGCTGTCCCGCTTTGTCTCTGGCTAGTAGTGATGGCACCAGGTCTCATCACCTGTGACGATCCGCACCATGAAAGCGGGGTTTTCCTGATACCGAAACAGATGTTGCAGTGTTGAATAGCTGCCGGTTTCTCACGTTCCGCTGTCAGAAATCAGATAACACCTCGCTGCTACTCAGTCCTCGAATTTTGCAACGCGAACGCCATCCTGTCCTCATACGGAGTGCCGCCTCATTTGGACGCCGCTTTTGATAAGAGCCTCTGCTCTCTCCTGCGCATGCGGGCGCCCGCGCATGCTCCGATCCCAGTCAGAGACTCCAATCGCATCCCGAGATGTCTCGCTACGTTCTCCCATGGCGGAATATGCAAATATTTAACTGTTACGTTTTTACGTCGTTTCATACCTTTTCATTTGATCACGCCTTGTATGTTAAGTGATGAAGCTCAGATTAAGAATTCTGCAAACAAAGAGTAAATGATTAAAATTTAAGGAAGATACTGCTGGCAGTGCCAGATGATATTAGGGTATCAAGGAAGACAAAACTATGATATTGTTGACATTATCAATAGAAGATACTGTTGAAAAAGGTACCTGGCAAGAAAGTACAACACGAAGTTGATAATTCATTTATTTTACGCAGTTCAAGCGGTTTTAGGAAACGAAATGATTAACCAAAAGAGAAAATCAAATAGACACAGAATTCATTGGATAAATATTTTAATCAGTAGTATGATTTTATTTTAATTACTATATAAAATTTATAGTGCTATTTTTTTTCTGTGCACTTATCTGTTTCCCATACTTTAAAGAATTACTCACCTCAGAAAATTAAGCATAATACACAGCTTTTTTATAAGTTCTAGAAGCTCTGCATAGAATAAGTCTATTTACCTTTAATTGATAACCACTATCACCTATAGTTATCTTCTCTAAGATAACCACCTCCACAGAAAATCAAAATCATTTAGAACAGTGGCCTGGCATCTTAAAAAGTTTACTGTATTTTTAACAGTTTCAGCAAGGTGTTAGTAAGATTTCAGACTCAATTCTAAAAGCATAATATGTGTTCTACGCCATGACTTTTCAATTTATGAAGTACAATTTAAATGCAATGACATCAAGCTCAATCAAAACAAAGGTAATAAATTGTTCAATAATTAAACAGTTTAGTTTTTCACTTTTAGTCTTATTATGGCAAAACATGCTATGGCTATCTGCCTAAGGGAAGGGATACCTTCATGGAGGACTTTCTAAGAAACTGGCTCGTATACACGTTACACATGGTGAAAACCATGAAAACGCCCATGCAGCCATAGCGTTCGCCTGGATTCGGCCGCTGGTAAGCCCGTTGACTAACAAAATTCCATCACAACAGTTTTAATATTATCATATAAGTTTAGAAGGTATTTCTCCCACTTCTCTAGCGTGCCTTCGTGGTGTAGTGGTTCTGCACACTGAGCCGGTATTTCAGAGGTCCGTGGTTCGATTCCCGGCGAAGGCGGTTGCATATTTTTCATCTTCTGCTTCCAGTTAACCTAATGACTCTACAAGTTGAACATGCATACACTACGCATAGGTCATAGTAAAAACCATGGCCATATTTAGGTAGGAATTGAAGGGGCTGCAGCCATTCCTCAAAAAAAAAAAAAAAAAAAAAACTGAATTTTCAGTTTATAAATAGAATATACTAATTACAAAAACATTGGTTTTAGATAAAAGATCACAGCTCCCCCTGAAATTAAATCTTAGCTGCAGCCAAGGCATACAGTCCTCTATGGCTGTCTTCAGAAATTTTATTTACATAGGCACTGAATTTCTTTGTTTATACTCATTTGGCTCAACAGCAATCAAATTATGTGTTATACTCAAACAGCACTTAAATTATGTGTTAAATTTTATTGAGATAGACAAAATTAAAGCTATTAATGCAATAAATTATGAAAAAGGGCTTTAAACTACAAAATAACCGAAACAAATTTATTAATCTACAGATGGATTATTTTATATAGATTCAAATAATCGTTTCAAGTGTTCAAATATATGGCAAGCAATAAGTTCTTTCTAATAATTAAAATATTTGATAATGTCAAATACTTTTATTTTGTTGAAATGAAACTACATTCAAATATATTTTTTACAGATTGATTTCTCATAAAATCCATTAAACTTCTTCTTTATTTAAAATGTATTTGTCACTATTTCAATGAAAACTTTTCAAAAATAAAAATGAGACTCGATTACTTTCATATAATATTAACTACGGGAATACTGATTAATCAAGATAGATAAAAACTTAGACGCTTCCTTTATTTTGTGTTTAACGTTCTTGTAGATAAATATAAATATATTTTCAGACATTAAAAAAGATTATTCAGAAGACTGGAATATGATGAGGAGATTCGGCTTACATCCAATACATTACTAATTCAAAATAAATTTTAAAATCCTTGTATAGATGAAGTCTTTTACAGTAAAAAGTTTAACACCTCTATAGAATTTTTCTTTAGTTTATATACAAAAATCCTTAATACTGCTGTTGTAATACATAACATTAATTTCTTTACTCATTAAAATAAAAGCTGTGAGACTTACAATTCCTAATACAGCAGCAGCCTTACATATACCAAAGATTAAATACTGAGCAATAATTTCATCCTCAGCAGGATGAATTCTTTGTACTTCAAGAAATGTGTCAAGCATCCATTCAAATTGAGCCTTTTCCATAAAAATATCTGATAAAGCAACAACCTAAAAAGAATAAGAATAACAAAAAAGCTAAGTACACATATCTTGATAAGTGGCATAACTAAACAAAAAAAAAAATATTTTATTTACTAATAATCAATGCATATAAACTGCGAGATCAGAAAATTTTAAAAAGTTCGCTCACTCTTCAAAGTTAACGTCTGTTTAATTAAACAATTACACTAAAACATGCTTTAACTCCGAAGATAAATAACTGACAAAAACACATTTTTTTAAGTTGTTTTTTTAACTAATATTATTATGAAGGAAAGAACAAAGGTTAATAAAACGAAGATAATCACCGATTTAACGACCTCTGTCAGTAATATTAATGGTGTAAAAGGACATGTCTGTGGTGATAACCACTGGCTGTAAAGATCCAACAAGAAATGCAAACAAGAATGTATGTCCAAACCAACAGCAGATAAGCTTTGCTCACGTTGCTGAAAACTAACAACTCCACCGAAGTTATTAGAAAGAGGGCTAGAATTTGAAGAAGCAGAGCCGTCTAAATCTTCGATATCTTCTGCCAAACCAACCGCAGCACTTAAATATTCTAAGGATACCTACATTAAAATAAAAAGTAAAATATAAATATAATATAACACAAAATATATAATTACTTATGTTGACATTCTTCATGAATTTCGTATCTTTTTAATTGGTGAAGTTAGTTGTTACACTAGGGTAAAGCAAATTCGATGATAGAAAATTATAGTAATCACAGTTTCACGTCCAACAAAAATATACACTCTTATCTACAAAAGTCCTTACTAGGTCTTTATTTTCGCTACCGTTGGTCATACGACACATACTTGTAATTATAAAAATGTTTTAAATGGTGCAAAGATTCATGTGTTGACATTTTTAAATTTGAAAACATCAATTATGTAAATACACTCAAACCTCTCTTAAACAACACTTCCCATAACGAATGATTCGCATAACGAGCAAAACAAAATGTAAAAAAAAAAAATGACTTCCTTAACGAGCGACGTTTCACAAAACGAGTGACGTGGAGACATCGTGACGTCGCATGCAGGATCCTGCCTGCATTTCGGTTAGCCGTCTGTGTTTAGCGCTCATTCACTGTCGCTTGTGAAAGTTGTATTCATACACATTATTGTGTAATATTTTTTATGCAAGGTTTAGGCATGCTTACGTCCCCAAAAATGTCGAAAAAAGACAGGTGTAAGAGAAGAAAAAATATCATACAAGTCAAACGCCAAATCACTGAGAAGCGACAATGGGGTGTAAGCATGGTTGACCTAACACGTACATATAAACGGTATACATCAACGATTTGCAGTATCCTCAAAAACAAGGATAAGATTAAGGAGGTTGATGCTTCAAAGGGTGTCACAAATATTTTTATGCAACGGCCACGTATTCTCAACGATGTTGAAAGATTTTTTTTTCTCGTATGGATCAATGAGAAGCAAATGCAAAGCGTCACTATTAATAAAAGCATAATTGAGAAGGCGAATCTAATTTTTGCCAACTTCATCAAGAAGCTGTCACAATCAATGGACGAAGAAGAAACATTCAAGGCAAGCCGGGGGGGATGATTCGAAAAGTTTAAAAGAAGAACGGGCATCCACAGCATTTTTAAGTACGGAGAAGCAACAAATTCGGACCTAAAGGCAGCCGAGAATTTCATCGACGTATTCGAGAAGCTTGAGAATTCTGAGGGTTTTCTGCCACAGCAGGTTTTTAATTGTGATGAGACGGTGTATTTTGGAAAAATATGCCGAAGCGAGTTTATATTGCTTCAGAGGAGAAAGCATTGCCAAGCCTCAAGCCAATGAAAAACCGTCTCACTCTGTTGTTTTGTGCAAATGCAATTGGCGATCTGAAAATTAACTGCTGCTTGTTTACCATTCGGACAATCCACGAGTCTTCAGATAGTTATAAAGTAAAGAACAGTAGGCTAAATGTCACATGGAGGTCAAACATCAAGGAGTGGGTGACTCGTTTTTGCAGATTGGATCAATGAAGTGTTCGATCCGTCTGTAAACAAATTATCTACTCTTGTGATGAATTTTCCACTCAGTGGAAATGTTATGCCTGTTATCTCAGCCTGTTATGAACAGCGCTTCGGCACTTTCTTCAAGACTAGAAGACGATAACCTCGAAGAATTTAAATTCATCAAGATCCAGTTCCTGCTTTTCGAGGCCATTTTTTTACAGCAGCCCATGGACCAGCAGATCATTTCAAATTTTAAAAAGTTCTACACCAAAAGCGCTCTTCGAACGTTGTTTTGAGGTGACTGAAGGAACCGAGGAACCGAACTCACTCTTACAGAGTTTTGGAAAAGTCACTTTCGTTACCTGCCTCAAGATTATCACCAAGGCATGGGAGGGTGTCACCAGGAAAACCCTTATTTCTGCATGGAAGAAGCTTTGGCTGAACTGCTTCGTCGAACGGCAAGGGGTTTGAGAAAGTGCTTGTAGAGCCTGTAATCGACGAGACTGCTTCTTTGGCCAAGATTATGGAGTCAGAGGTGGAAAGCAACAACATCGATGAGCTACTGGAAGATCATAGCCAGGAGCTGAATACCAAAGAGCAAATGGAACTGCATTTTGTGTATACAAGAAGTTGTGCAGGAGATTTCATAATGGGTGGAGAACGAAGTCGATGGGAAGCAGAACCTTCCAGTAAAATAAGGGAGATGCTGAAATCATCAGAAACTGTTGCATCATATGTTGAGAAGCATCATCAGTAACTATGGGCGTTAGAGATTTATTTACATTTTCGCCAAATTTTGAAGCATACTCAAAAACAAATGTCTTTAAGCAACTTTCTTGTAAAAAAATGTTATTTAAATAATAAGCTGCACTATTATAAATTTGTTTGAGTACTGTTTTTCGGAATGGAATGCGTTATCCTATTTTGCATTGATTCTTACGGAAAAAAATTGTTTCGCATTACGAGTAAGATTCGTGAACAAATTATGATCGTTAAGGGTGGATCCACTTTATTAAAAAAACCTAACCTTACTAACCCAACTTATGTTCCTCTGGTCCTATACTTAAGAATATTTTGGACTCCTTATGCAAAATGAACCACAGAACGTTTGACTGACAAAAACTGAATAAAATATTTGATTTCAAAACTTGGGAATTTTAACCTTATATTCAGTTTGCATTGTGGGGTTAGTTAGTAAATTAATTAGAACAAATCATGGTTGCTTTTCCACCTTAAATGCCTTTCAATGATATTGCTTTGTGATTTACTAGTGTCTTTAATTTATAATTTTATTATATTTTTTGGCCGAAAGAATTTTCACACAAACAATTTATAAATTTTCGAAGTCTAAGCATGCGTTATTAATATTCTCCTGGTGTTTTATTATTTTAGAATGATAATCTGATGATAGAATCATAATCATAAAAATATTCATTAAAGTACAAACATGTTTATTTTTAATTAATGCAAATAATGTTACGAGTTGGCTGCGTGCCCATATATAAGCCTGCCAGTGTGTTTTAGAACATGAATGCTCTAAGATTCTGTGAATAAGAATTTTTTGAGGAAGGCAGTCTGGGTAGGCGCCCCAAAGTTCACTGGAAGAATTAAAATCGCCCGCTAAGAGGTGAAATGCAGAAGGAGGAGAGTGTGAAAAGAGTTCATCCAACTCCACAAGAATGTCCTCTATGTCCAAAGAAGGAGGAAAATAAAGTGAAGAGAAAAGATAAGTAAAGCTAGAAGTGAACATTGCAACTGTGACAGTGTGAGGGGTAGAATAGAAAAGACGCAGAGGAAGAGTGGATGAAAAAACAATAGCAGCAAGATTAGTTGAAGATTGAAAAGCTGTGAGGGCATTGGGGAGACCCACAATTGTATTGGTATTAGAATTCGAATAGTATTCTTGTATAAATGCTAGATGTGCACCCTGTTCCAGAAATGCTGCAAAGAAGTGACCAGTCGACGCAGAGGATCTCTGCAAATTAATTTGTAAAAACAGAGGATCATCAACAGTAAACATAGTAGTCAAATCAAGATTCAATTGCTTTGCAGAAGTATGAACCATGATTGTTATTTAGAATCAATTTGTCCTCGCAATAAAGATCTGTAAAAGGGACAAGTGGACGAGACTGCCGAGTGGTGCAAATCAAAAGTGGTATGTGATGTTTTATTAGATTTAAGACAATTTACACATTTAAATGGTAGTGTACATCCTTTAGGGGAATGAGAATCAGCCCAACGACTGCAGCAAATTGGAGCTGTACAACGAGCCTTGACATGTCCAAAAGAGTTACAATTAAAGCATCTAGTGAGGCGCACAAATGGGCGAAACTCACAAGAGCTGAAGGCAATATTGAAAAATTTCTGAGAAAGCAAAAATTTTGATGTAGGAACCGGAGAAACAATTTGCCAAGTACTGGTGTTATCTGTACGTTTAGACAATATTTTCAATGTTAAATCTTGTGTAGAGAGTTGTGGAAATTTACTAATGATTAAATCAATTAAATCTTGCTGCTCAATGTCCGTCGGAACTCCATAAAGGACCAACGATGAGGTCCGTGGGCGAGGGAAACGAAACTGCACGATTCAGAAAGAAGAGAATGATTGGAAAGATATTTTTTGAGGCGTTCTATCTGTGAAATATCAGGGCAACGAACCAAGAGCTTGCCGTTTTGAGTGGATCATATCTGTGTGCAGTTGAAAATTAATTGGTCACGTCCCAAAGTACAAATTAAAAGCTGTCGCAAGTCTTGTGGGGAAGTACGCTCTTTGGTGGACAAAATCAATACCGGCTCTTCTGAAAATGAAACCGCAGAAAAATTGGTAGAGAAATTAGAACGAGTAAACGTTTGTGATTTAGTATATGCAGTGGAAAGAGTATCTTGATGTGAGATCTTATGCACAGGTGGTATTAATTGCTCAGATAAAAAAGTGAGGTCATCCGGAGGCCCATCCACTGTTTCCGAAATCAAAGATGTAATACTCTGAGAAGAGGTCTGTAAAGGGCATACAGATGGTCTTTTTGAAAGAGTAGAAACGACAGATGTCTGTGAGGTAAGATTTATAAATGTAGTGTTTGTAGTAGAATAAACAAAAGAAGTAAAAGATGTTGAAGAGGAAAAAACAGAAGACACTGTAGGGGAAGTGAAAACTTGGGAAAAATCCTCTGGAGAATCAACTATTGAAGGAATATTCTTGCGCCGCAAAGGCGGAATAGAATGTGTGGAAGTGAAGAGTAATTCTTCTGTCTGTGTGCCAATAGTAATAAACTGTGGCACTAAATCTGTGGAAGAGCGGATTGAGCTAATATGTGCTCGGATTGTGGACAATTCAGCATGTAATCCCCGTATCTCCGAGACAATTTGAGAAATTATGCCTTGTGAAAAATCAGCCACCAGTTGGTGGGACTCCTGCTCCAGCAACACTGAACGAATGTCTGATAAATGGCCCGAAAGAATACGTAAGTCTGCCGAAGATAGTTTATGTTTACCTTTTTGACGCTCTAAATGTGCAAAGATATCATTAATGGAAGCATGTGCACGCCCAAGTCCCTTGTCATGGGGTCCAGAATCCACAACAGAATTGTTGAGTTGCGATTCAAAATGCCGTTGAGGGAGTTGAAGATTGAGACTGGAGTTTCAAACTGTAGATGCCTGTTAACAGTGGCGTCTAAGGGAGACTGAAGGGGAATGAAAATGGTAGATTGTGCAGAAGTCGATGTATGCACCGAGTCAGGAAATGACAAATCAGTGACCAATTTACCATATGACTCCGCGGTAAGACAATTGTCTATATTCTCCAAGATTACCCATGGCTCCAAGTTCAACTCAGACAATTCACACTTAGAACCAGAAATATCTGGCAATGACAATAATTCCAAGCCTTACCTATCAAAAACAGCGCATGTGATCTTGGGTACCGAAAGTGGGGAACGACGGTGTGAATCTGCCATAGACGTTGAGATATATATTCAAAAACAGTTATCATCCAATAAAAACATTGTCATTAATAATGAGAATTATCAAAATAAACGTTAAAAATAAATAAAATAAAAGATACATTACCCCAAAAACGTGGTAAAACAGTTGACAATTATATAAATAAAGTATTAATAGTACTACAGTATACGAAAGCCGAGTTAAATTCCAAAAACTCTAAAAGCAGCACCGTATTGGGTGTAAAAGGGGCTTTTCTGCATACAGAGTAATCTTGCGGTAGAACATTTTTACAGTTAAAGGAGAGGATTCAAAACGAATACGTATTAAGGCAATGGGAGCAAATATAAGAATTGATATGCAGAAAAGAACCCACGAAAAAGAAAATTAATTTAAAAAAAAATAATTTAAAATTAATAATTTTAAAAATAAATTAATTTAAAAAAATATTGTTTACGTTCCTCGTATTAGAATGGCGCCGACATGGATGACACAGTTTTCGGCTTTAAATATACTTAATAATTCACGACTCTTAGTCTATTTAATTAAACTCAATACATTTAATAATATAACATTCACACGTAAACATTTAGTAATAATTCAGGAGTACAGATAAGCATAAATAGGAATTACAACCGTTACAGGCCAGCTACGCTTTTAGCGACCGAATTCTATGAACGACAAATCTCAAAAGCGTATTGGCAACGCAGGGCAACGAAAGGTAGAAATTAATTTCGATAGGCGTGGAAGTGAACATACTCCCACCCTATCAGGTTTATTACCTGATACACTACCGTTGTCACTGTAAATGTGCCGGGTGCAACCGCGAAGTGAATGAAACGTTTAAGTGCCGCGATAAACGAGTCTGCCATCAGGTCACTGACTGCTTCTGTATGCACAGCTTTAGTCGACAAGGGAACAAACAGAGCTATATAGCCTTTCGTTGTTTTAGAACCACGACCCTTATTAAATTTCATGGTAATAGGACCAGCGTAATCCACACCAGATGCGTAAAAAGGTCGTTCCAAAGTCACACGATGTTCAGGTAAGTCACTTATCAATTGCGGAGTTGAAGCAGCTTTAAATCGATGACATATAAAGCAATGGTTGACACAACTGCGTATCAGTCTCTTTCCTCCAATTATCCAGTAAGATTGCCTGATGAGGTGTGATAATAAAGAAGGACCAGCATGAAGGTAAGTAATAAAGTTCTTTCACTAGTAATTCGCTAAATTTATGTCGAGAAGGAAGTATGACAGGATGTTTGATGTTAAATGCTAAAGATGAATTTCGAAGACGTCCTCCCACCCGTAAGAGACCATCTTTATCTAAGAATGGATATAGAGAACGTAGTTGGCTCTTCTTGGGTAAAGGTTTATCTCCCTTAATACATGCCAAATCATCTTCGAAATAATGATCCTGAATCCAACGAAAATGAAATTTTTGCTACTCGAATCTCTAGAAATGTTAGCGGCATAAGGCAGCTGGATTAATACCACTACGTGAAATGTTCTGAGTACAAGATGCTTCTTGCAATTAGCAATAAATCTTTGACAGTAAACCAGAATACGAACAATTTTACAACGCGAAGAATAATGCTCGAACAAATTAGGCTAATAAATCATTCGATTCACGTAATGAGAAATAAAAATGGATCAGATCTTTGTTCGGCCTTTACTTCAGTCTCATCTTCAGATTTTAATTCATATTTAGGCCATTTTTCCTCTTCTTGACGCAACCATGGTGGACTATTTCCACCACAAAGTAGTTTTTGGTAGGAGTTGAAGTTCAATACCACGAGAAGCAATGTCTGCAGGATTCTGTTTAGAGGGAACATGATTCCAATGTTTAATAGTATTACTTCTATGATTTGAGATGTTCTGTTTGCCACAAAAGTTTTCCACTTACGTGGATGAGCTGCTAGCCAAGACAAACTACCTTGGAATCCTCCACGCAAGATTTCAAAATCAAACTTCTTTAAAATGTTCAATAGAGATCGCATTAATCTGGTCAACAAATATGCAGCACAAAGTTCTAATCGAGGAATGGATACTTGCTTTATAGGCGAGACTTTAGTCTTTGATACCAAAAGATTAACCTTAAACCGTACCATTGCATTTTTGGCGACAGTAAAATGGCTGCCGCATAGGCCTGGGAAGATGCATCAGAAAATCCAGTAGTTGGATAACACTGTCCGTTGTAAGTTGACAGATCTCGGAATTTCACAATTATTGATTTGACTGAAGTCTCTTGAAATTTAAACCAATCATCTGAGATATGCTGGGGAACAACTGAATCCCAGTCACCTTTAAACTAACCATAGCTTTTGATAGAATATTTTGATCAATACAGTGCAAGGAGATAGAAGACCTAAAGGATTGAAAATGCGAGCAGATTCTGCTAATATGCGTCTTTTTGTTATAGGTGCGTTGATGTGCAGCCTAGCTTTAAAACTAAAGGTATCAGTAGTTGAATTCCAAAAAAGTCCTAAGACTTTCGAACTCGAATTAGGAGATATCTCGAAATCAGAATTCAACGAACAATGTTCCTTAAATTCAGTTAAGAATTCTACAGAATTTGAATTCCACTTCCTCAATTCAAAACCACGTGCATGTAAAATTGAAGATATTTTCTTGCAGGCAGATACTGCAGCATCAACTGTAATTGCACCCGACAATAAGTCGTCCATATACATATCCTCTTGCAATATACGAGTTACATCTGATTCCTCTTTAGACTCTAAAGCTACCTGCCTTCAGACATCGAGTTGCTAAAAATGAAGCAGAGAAAAGACCATACGTAACTGTTTTCAACTTGTACGTACGCATTTTATCACTGGAATTGTATCGCCAAAGTATCCAATTGATATTCTGATCTTCAGGGCCTACCATCACCTGACGATACATAATCTCCACATCGGCTGTGAAAGCAATTTTAGGAAATCGAAAATTAATCAAAATCTCAAAAATATCTCTTTCTAATTTCGGACGTACCCCTAAAAGAGAATTCAATGATATACCGTTTTGAGATTTACAGGATGCATCAAAAACTAAAATTTTCTTAATTTTGTCGTTGTGCTAGAAGGTTTAATGACCGCATGATGAGGAAGATAAAACTTTTCTATTAGATA